CCTTTCACTCTTTCTCTTTTTCTTTCTCTCGCTCTCTCTTTCTCTTACACTCTTTTCCTAGCTCTCTCTATCGTTTTTATTTACCCTTCAACAGACACAATCACACACACACAAACACACAAACACACACACACACACACACACACACACACACACACACACAAGTAAAAGAAATAGTGGACGTAAGAAACAATGACAGAGAGAATTTAAAAAGTTATACAAAGAAGTTTGGAAAAAAAAGAGGGACGGGGAAAGGGTGTGTGGGGTGGGGTGGGTTGGGGGTAAAGAAATACAAACAAACAGACAAACAAACAGAATCACACATTCGGGAAAACAAAGCGCTGCATGAATGTCCCTGCATGATGACGTAGATGAGTGGGCCCACCAAGGGAAATAACCGAAATAATTAGGTTTTGGACAGATAGTTTCCAAGACTTCAGACCTTTCCTTTAAGTGGAAACTTTAAAGAAAACCTCAAAAGTCTAGCGACTCTTCTGCTTAAAATCACATTTTCTTGGTTACCTCCCTTGATCGGGCTACCTTATCTACGTCATCAGCGGGACAGCTTGTGCGTTTTCTTTCTGAATGTGTGAATCTTTTCTTTTTCTTAGTTTTGTTGTCTTTGTTGGGGGTTTTTTGGGGGGGTTTTCTTGCTTTTATCTTATCCCCAATATTTTTAGCCAAGGTCATCCCCAATATTTAAAAAAAAATCACATTCACAATATTTTCTAGCCCATCCTCAGTATTTTCTATTGCTCATCCCTAATATTTTCCAGCTCATTTCTAGTTCCTCCTGAATGTTTTTTACCTCACCCCCAGTATTTTCTAGCTCATCTTTTATAGTTTTTAGCTCATCCTCAGTATTTTCTAGCTCCATACTTTGTATTTTCTACCTCATCCCTAGTATTTTCTAACACATCCGCAGTATTTTCTAGACCATCCCCACTATTTTCTAGCTCATCCCTAAAATTTTCCGACTCATCCCTAGGATTTTCTAGCTCATCTCAAATATTGCCCATTATTTTCTAGATCATTCCTATTGTTTTATAAATCATTTTTAATTTTTTTTTTTATCTCATCCCTATTTATTTCTAATTCATTCCTAATAATTTCAAGTTCATTAACAGTTTTTTCTAGCTCATCCTCAGTGTTCCTATGTATTTTCTAGTTCCTCCCCAATATCTTGTAGATCCATCCCCAGTATTTTCTGGTTCAGGCCCCAATGTTCCCCAGTGTTCTCTAGTTCATCCCAAATATTCCTCACTAATTTTTAGCTCCATCCCCAGTATTTTTAGCTCCATGCCCATTGTTTTCTAGCTCATCCCCAATATTTCCAAGTTTTTTCTAGATTATCCGCAATATTTTCAAGCTCATCCCCAGTATTTTTTAATTCTACCCTAATAATTTCTAACTCGTCCCAAATATTTTCTAGCTGATTCCTAACATTTTCTAGCTAATCCGTAATATTTTCTAGCTCATCCCCAGTGTTTCCTATCTCATCCATAATATTTCTTAGCTCATCCACAGTATTTTTTAGCTCATCCCTAATATTTTACAGCTTATCCCCAGTATTTTTTAGCTCATCTTTAATATTTTTAGCTAATTCCCATTATTTTCTAGCTCATCTGTAATGTGGTTTAGCTCATCCCCAGTATTTTTTAGTTCATCCCTAACATTTTCTAGGTCATCCTTAATATTTTTTAGCTCAACCCAAATAGTTTTTCAAACTACCCCAATATTTTGTAGTCCAAGATCCTCAATATTTTCAAGCTCATGGTTGGGTGAAGAAATACAGACAAACAAACAGAATCACACATTCGGGAACACAAAGCGCTGCATGAATGTCCCTCTGATGACGTAGATGAGTGGGTCAACAAAGGGAGATAACCGAATTAATTAGGTTTTGGACAGATAGTTTCCAAGACTTCAGACCTTTCCTTTAAGTGGAAACTTTAAAGGAAACGTCAAAAGTCTTGCGACTTTTCTGCTTAAAATCACATTTTCTTGGTTATCTCCCTTGGTCGGGCTGCCTTATCTACGTCATCAGAGGGACAGCTTAACCGAAGATCAACTCAAACTAGTTCAACCCAAGTGGAGTCAACTGTATTAGTAATATTATAAGTATTATTAGTATTATTATAATATAATTATTACACATATATAATGCATTAATTACTATTATTATTTTTTTCTATTTTCTAATTTCAAAAATCAATTTATTAAAAAATAAGATATTCTTATTTAATTATCTTGCATCCCCTCAGATAGTTTATGTCAGCTGTACCCAGTAGGTTTCTTGTCTTGCAACAGGACGTGACATTCATTAGTAGAGGTTTTACTTCGCTCCCAACTGTATAAAGTCATATGAGCGCCAGAAGATAAGAGGCGTTACAACAAGAGAGTTACAAACATGAAAAAGAAGAAGGGGGAGATAAGGACGATAGATATTTCATAGGAAAGAAGAAGCAAACCACACCAGAGCACCTGCCAACCACCCACTCACACAGCGTGGTGAAATCAGCGCTCGTCAATATAATCAAAGTGAACAGGCATTTTTCCACAGGTCTGTGAATTTTTATCGAATTTTCCTTTCTTGGCACAACACATTAAAGAACACATTTCTGTGTCGATTTTACGGAAAAATGTTGCTTAAAGGAACGAAAAATGTAAATTTTCAGTTTCTGTCAGCAGACTCTCGAGCTAAGGAAATAAATCTTCTTTGATGGCATTTTTTAAAACTAATTTAAAATCTGAAACCAGGCGACTTCCACCTCTTTCATTCGCAAATACATACATCAAATTCTATTCAAGATAATAGGATATTTTTTTCATCCAAAGGAAGACAAATGAACAAGCTTTAAGATGATACACGTACCAATAACTCTACATGCCCAAAAATTTATTTTTTTTTTCTGTCAACTTTTAGTATTAGTAAGAGTGTTACGACATTTGCAACACAATAAGGTCATAAAAGTGCCAAAGATTAGAAGTGTTACAAGAGAGTAACAAACACAAAAAAGGAGGAGGGGAGATAAATACAATAGATGTTTGACAGGAAAGAAGAAGCCCAAAACTAGACGAGCACCTGATTCCACCGCGTCGTGACATAATTTCTTCAGTTTTAGTTTAGTTTTAGTAGAGGTTTTACGGCGCTCGCAACTGCATAAGGTCATATGAGCGCCAGAAGATAAGAGGTGTTACAAGAGAGTAACAAACATGAAAAAGAAGAAGGGGAGATAAGGACGATAGATGTTTGATAGGAAAGAAGGAGCAAACCTCACCAGAGCACCCGCCAACCACCCACTTTCTTCACAGACAATGAGACGAAACATTTGGCTAAATCTCCTCAGCCAAGAACGAAACAAAAACAAAATACATGTAAAACATATCTAAACGGTTTTTAAGATTTAAAAAAGCCAGGAGTCAGAAGAGGTCGAAGCAATAGCCACTTTTATTCCTCCAAGTTTTTGCAATATTGGGACACAAAAACAAAAACGAAGTGACCTTTGTTGAGTTTGAGAGACCAAAAAACAGAGACATATATCATTACCTCAGACTTATTTTGTAAATAATCTCTCTCTCTCTCTGACTCTCTCTCTTTGTTTCTGTCTCTCTCTCTTTGTTTCTGTCTCTCTGACTCTCTCTCTTTGTTTCTGTCTCTTTCTCTCTGTCTCCGTCTCTCTAAATAAGCTCCCCTTATTCTACTTCTGCATTTCTCTCTCTCTCTCTCACTACACACAAACAGACACGTACACACACACACACTCTCTCCCTCTCTCTCTCTTCCAAATCTAATTTACCTATCACTCTATTTTCAAACTTTCAACATGTCACTGTCAAAATCTTCATCACATTTCCAACTTCTACAAACAATCAAATCTTTTCTCCAAACAAAACCATAAATAATACTACTCCACAAACCAACTGACAGACATCGTCCACACATAAAAAAGCTGAAACCCAACCCAAAACCCAGAAACCATACCCACTCACTTCCACAGCAGTTTCTTGGGCTAGTGAGGCATTCAGACCAAAGATCCGCATCAGTCCGTCCGTCCTTCCTTCGGTTCATCCATCCATCCACTCATTCATCCATCCATCCACCCGTCCATCCATCCATCTAATGGACAGTAGCTGACTGGGGTCATAGAGTTAATAAAACACCACCTGTTTATTCGTTGGGAGTGCCTTTTTCACCCTGGGCAAAATGAGGACCCATGACAGGACCATTTTTATAATTTCTCCAGAATTGACAAACTAAGCTGAATTTATATTCTTTATATTTGGTACGTTTTCTCATCAAAATTTAACTGGGAGTACAATATTGTATCAGGTTTCACCATTTCAACAAAAAATGTACTTCAAAAAATTTGGCTGAACTTGCCCAACTCCATGGGTCTTTACCGAAGAAATCCTGAAATCTTACGACCACCGTAAAGCCAACTACACAGACCACTGTTGATCTCCATTATGTGGCAGGGCGTGCTTAGGCTATTGGGCTCGTAATCGTGAGGTTTTGGGTTTGGGGGTGGGGGGTTGAGACTCAGACCCGACGCTAAGGCACTTTACACGAATTTTCCTCACTTCACCCAGGTGAGAAGGGTACCCGACCATTAGCAGCGAAAGAGCTTGTTAGTATATTAGTGTCTTAGTTAGTGTCTGTAAAGTAGCAGCTTGCACTGTATGCTTCCCAGGAAGTTGAGGTTGTTTCAGAATGCTATCAGGTCTGCTCAGAAGGTAAGAATATATCTAGACTGTAAAGTGCACAGAGCCTGCTGTCCAGTGGGGATTTGCACTAAACAAATGCTGCCTGTTATCATAAATTAAATTGGTCAAAGTCTGACCACTAGTGGAGAGATACGAGAAGTAATCCGGTCTATCCGTTTGACGGATAAAGGCCCGGATACACACATGGATCTTTGGTCTGAACACGCAGTAGGGTCGGCGCCTCACCCATTCCCCACAGCACTGTTGTAAAATGACAAAACATCTTTTTTTTCTTCAGAGAAATTTCGAGAAAATATGGGGGTTTTTTGTCAGTGCAATCATTTAAAAATAAAGTCATTCCAGAATTTAAATTCTAATTTATTCAAAAACAAGTCGCAGTTTCAGTCTGATTTCTTTTCACACAAGTAGGGTAACTGATCAGGCTTTCGATATAAAGCACATAAAAAAATTTGGCACCAAAATGAAAAAACGCGTTTCGTCATTGTCAGCTTACGGCACAGCAGTCTCTCAGGCTAAGGCAGGCTTCAAACCCCCGCCCCCCGTCATTCTGTCCACCTCCCCCTCCTCCTTCTTCTCTCCTCCTTCCTTCTCCTCCAGCGGGGGCAGCGGCTCAAACACGGGCACCTTGTAGGTGCGGAGCAGCGCGTCTCTGGACGGGGCCCCGTCTGGGATGACTTTGCCGTGGATTCTCCATGTCCCGTACGTGTCCGAGATCCACTTCTCCATGATGACGTACTCCACCACAGACTTGGCCAGATGGGGGTCTCCGTACATGAGTCGGCCAAACCGGTCGTAGATGGCCAGGATCTGGT